ACAATTTTCTATGGGATTAAAGGTCTGGAGACTGGCTAGGCCACTCCAGGACCTTAATGTGCTTCTTCTGAGCCACTCCTTTTGTTGCCTTGGCCGTGTGTTTTTTGGTCATTTTTCATGCTGGAAACCCATCCATAAACCCATTTTCAATGCCCTGGCTGAGGAAAGGAGATTCTCACCCAAATTTGACGAAAACCTGGCCCCGTCCATCGTCCCTTTGATGCGGTGAAGTTGTCCTGTCCCCTTAGCAGAAAAACAAACCCCAAAGAATAATGTTTCCACCTCCATTGTGGACGGTGGGATGTTTTCCCTTGGGGTCATAGGCAGCATTCCTCCTCCTCCAAACACGGCGAGTTGAGTTTGATTCCAAAGAGCTACTTTTGTCTCATCTGACCACACACTTTCACCCGTTTCTCCTCTGATCATTCAGAATATTCATTGGCATACCTTCAGACGGCCCTGTATATGTGCTTTCTTTAGCACGGGGACCTTGCGGGCGCTGGGAGGATTTCAGTCCTTCCAGCATAAGTGTGTTCCAAATTTTTTTCTTGGTGACTATAGTCCCAGCTGCCTTAAGATCATTTACAAGATCCTCCCTTGTAGTTCTGGGCTGATTCCTCACCGTTCTCATGATCATTGCAACTTCACGAGTTGAGATCTGTCTGGTGTCTGTCTGTCTGTCTGTCTGGTGTCTATCTGTCTGTCTGTCTGTCTGTCTGGTGTCTGTCTGTGTCAGTCTGTCTGTCTGTGTCTGTCTGTCTGTGTCTGTGTGTCTGTCTGTGTCTGTCTGTCTGGTGTCTGTCTGGGCTGGTGTGTTTCCATGTCTGGTGTCTGTCTGGTGTCTGTCTGTCTGTCCTGTCTGTTTTGTTCTGTCTGTCTGTCTGTCTGGTGTCTGTCTGTCTGGTGTCTGTCTGTCTGGTGTCTGTCTGTCTGTGTGTCTGTCTGTTTGTCTGGTGTCTGTCTCTTTGTGTGGTCATCCTTCTCTACATCCTGATTGTACAGTGGAGAGGGACGTGTGTTGACCTGAAGCTTAAACTACTCTACTGGGAAAAGGAGGAGAGGAGTGGAGAGGGTGGGGCTTGTCAGAGGAGAGGTGTGGACAAAGGAAAGGACAGGACAGGAGAGGAGAGGGGTGGACAGAGGGTTTAGGAGAAGAGTGGACAGAGAAGAGGATGGACAGAAGAAGGACATGAGGAGAGGACAGAGAGAGGGTGGACAGAGGAGAGGAGAGGACAGAGGAGAGGGTGGACAGAGGAGAGGAGAGGACAGAGGATAGGGTGACAGAGGAGAGGGGTGGACAGAGGAGAGTCAGAGGAGAGGGTGGACAGAGGATAGAGGTAGACAAGAGTAGGAGAGGACAGAGTGAGAGGGGTGACAGAGGAAGGAGAGGTCAGAGAGAGGTCAGAGATGAGAGGGTGGACAGAGGAGAGCAGAGGGGTTGACAGAGGATAGGATAGGGGTGACAGAGGACAGGAGAGGTCAGAGGAGAGGTCAGATGAGAGGGGTGGACAGAGGAGAGGAGAGGGGTGGACAGAGGAGAGGAGAGGGGTGGACAGATGAGAGGAGAGGTGTGGACAAAGGAGGGGGGTTCTCTCCCTAGGGAGTACTAGAGTCAAGGCAAAGGGTTAATGTACTTTAAGAAGGGAGTAGGGGGGGCAGATGGCAGGGGGGAACAGGACAATAAACAGATTTGAACACCACATAACCCTCCCCCTGCGTGCCTTAAATCCCCTTGTCTTTCCTGATCTCTACCCTTACCTTGTCCTTTCCATGTCTCACTTTCTCCCTCTCCGTCTCTCTCTCTGCTTCTCTCTCTGTCTCTCTCTCTCTCTCTCTCTGCTTCTCTCTCTGTCTCTCTCTCTCTGCTTCTCTCTCTCCGTCTCTCTCTCTGCTTCTCTCTCTGCTTCCCTCTCTCCATCTCTCTTTCTCTCTGCTTCTCTCTCTCCATCTCTCTCTGCTTCTCTCTCTCCATCTCTCTCTGCTTCTCTCTGTCTCTCTCTCTGCTTCTCTCTCTCTCCGTCTCTCTCTCTCTGCCTCGTCTCTCGTCTCTCTCTCCGTCTCTCTCTCTCCGTCTCTCTCTCTCCGTCCTCTCTCTCTCTCCTCTCTTTCTTTCTCTGCTTCTCTCTCTCTCTGCTCTCACTCTGTCTCTCTTCCTCTCTGCTTCTGTCTCCATCTCTCTCTCTCTGCTTTCTCTCTCTCTCTCCCGTCTCTCTCTCTCTCTCTGCTTTTCTCTCTTCTCCGTCTCTCTCTCTCTGCTTCTCTCTCCGTCTCTCTCTCCCCACTTCTCTCTCTCCTCCCGTCTCTCTCTCTTTTTTCTTGCTTTCTTTTCTCCTCTGCCTTCTCCTCTCTCTCTGCTTCTTTCTCTGCTTCCTCTCCCCGTCTCTCTCTCTCTCTGCGTCTCTCTCCGTCTCACTCCCCTCTGCTCTCTCTCCGTCTCTCTCCTCTCTGGTCTCTCCCCTTCTGCCTTCTCTCTCGTCTCTCTCTCTGCTTCTCTCTCGTCCTTCTCTCTCTCTCTCCATCCTCTCTCTCTCCAGTCTCTCTCTCGTCTCATGCTTCTCTCTCTCTCTTCTCCCTCTCCGTTCTTCCTCTCTCTCTGTCTTCTCTCTCTGCTTCTCTCATCTCCTTCTCTCTCTCTGTTCCTCGCTCTCTCTCTCTGCTTCTCTCTCCGGCTCTCTCTTTCTGCTTCTCTCTCCGTCTCTCTCTCTCTGCTTCTCTCTCCGCCCTCTCTCTCCCCGTCTCTCTCTCTGCTTCTCTCTCTCTGCTTCTCTCTCTCTGTTTCTCTCTCTGCTTCTCTCTCTGCTTCTCTCTCCGTCTCTCTCTCTCTGCTTCTCTCTCCTTCTCTCTCTCTCTCCCCGTCTCTTTCTCTCTGCTTCTCTCTCTCTGCTTCTCTCTCTCTGCTTCTCTCTCTCTGCTTCTCTCTCTGCTTCTCTCTCCATCTCTCTCTTTCTGTCTCTCTCTCTGCTTCTCTCTCTCCATCTCTCTGCTTCTCTCTCTCCATCTCCCTCTGCTTCTCTCTCCATCTCTCCCCTTTCCGTCTCCTATCCTTGCCTCTCTCTCTCCATCTATATGCTTCATTCTCTCCTCCCATCTCTCTCTTTCTTCTCTCCTCCTCCATTTATCTGCCTCTCTTCTCCTCTCCATCATTCTCTTTCTTCTCTCGTCTCTCTGATGCTTCTGCGTCTCTCCCTCCGTTCTCTTTCTCTCTTGCTTCTGCTCTCTCGTCATGTCCGTATCTGTTCTCTCTCCATCTTCTCTTTCTCTCTCTTGCTATCTCTCTCTCTTGCTTCTCACCCCGTTCTCTATCTCTGCTTCTCTCTCCGGTTCTCTCTATCTGCTTCTCTCTCCGTCTCTCTCTCTCTGCTTCTCTCTCCGTCTCTCTCTCTCTCTGCGTCTCCTCTGCTGCTTCTTCTCTCCGTCTCTCTCCGTCTCTCTCTCTGCTTCTCTCTCCCTCTCTCTCTCTCTCTTTGTTTCTCTCTGAGGCTGCAGCACAGCCCCGCCTGACTCACCGTTCTCCTCTGGCCACGCCACAGCCTTTCATTAGGCTAAAAGCTCTGAGACACACACACACACCCACACACACTCACAGCAGGTTTATGATTAAGTGACTCAAAGACAAGAGCAAAAGGAGAGAGACTGAAATAGAGAAGGAGAGAGGAAAGAGAGAGAGGGGAGGAGGGAGGGAGGGAGGGAGGGAGGGAGGGAGGGAGGGAGGGAGGGAGGGAGGGAGGGAGGGAGGGGAGGAGAGAGATAGAGAGACAGAGAGGGAGGGGAGGAGAGAGAGAAGGAGAAAGGAGATGGGAAAGGAGATGAAACGAAAGAATGATCAGGATAGAAACTTCATCTCCCATTCCTTTATCCCCTCATCCTGATGAGAACCATCCATTGGCTGGAGGCTGGTGAGGTCTAGAATTGAGGCAGGGGGATAAGGCGGGAGCAGAGGCCTGTAGGAGAGGACAGTTCAGGGATAAGGAGAGAGAGCGCTGAAGCAAAGAGGACTGGTGTAGTGGACTGGGGTAAAGAGGACCTGGGTAGAGGACTGGGGTAGAGGACTGGGGTAGAGGACTGGGGTAGAGGACTTGGGTGAAATGGAATGGGGTAGAGGACTGAGGTAAAGAGGACTGGGGTAGAGGACTGGGGTAGAGGACTGGAGTAAAGAACTGGGGTAGAGGGGTAGAGGACTGGGGTAGAGGACTGGGGTAGAGGACTGGAGTCAAAGAACTGGGGTAGAGGGGTAGAGGACTGGGGTAGAGGACTGGGGTAGAGGGATAGAGGAATGGAGTAAAGGACTGGGGTAGAGGGGGTAGAGGACTGGAGTAGAGGACTGGGGTAGAGGAGTAGAGGACTGGGGTAGAGGGATAGAGGAATGGAGTAAAGGACTGGGGTAGAGGGGTCGAGGACTGGGGTAGATGACTGGGGTAGAGGGGTAGATGGCTGGGGTAGAGGACTAGTGTAGAGGACTGGATGTTCCTCTTATTTTCACTGATTTTGTCACTGCAGTAAACTGTCAAAATGGGTTGTCTTTCCATTCAGTTTTTTTAAATAGAAATACATGTGTAATATTCCTAAAGGTGGAAGTCTGCTGTTCCCTGGAAGTCAATGTAATCCCTCCACCTGCGGCCAGAGGGACTCAGAGTCATTGTGTTGTTAGCCAGATGATCTGAGACATTGTGACACAGGTCAATGTGTCGTTAGCCATTACAGCATCGATGTTGACAGACACATCCTTCCTCTACGTCCTTTTCAACTGATAAGAAGTCCAACAGAAGGACAAGATAGTCACTTCCTGTTTCCCCTCAGGTTTTAGGTGACATCCCTCTATCTTTCTCTACTCCATCCCCCTCTCCCTCCCTCCCTACGTAAAACACATGTTCACTTTGACATCTTGTCTAACTAAACTCAAACATATGGGAAAGCCTGAATGATGAGGTCTGAGACTGTGTGTGTGTGTGCTACTGTGCTTCCTCACCAAGCTGCCCCTCAGTCACTATCAATGTATAACTTTGTATTGTACAGTACATTATGGTATAGTACAGTAAGGTTCTTACTCATTCCTGTGCAGAAGGAGTGTCATCTCCTCTCCTTCAGCTGTGATAAGGACCTCTGCCTCAGACGGGTGCTGCTCCAGAGAAATAGAATAATATCTCTCTAACATTACATCTCTCTAACATTACATCTCTCTAACATTATATCTAACATTGTCTCTAACATTATACAGTGGGGGAAAAAGTATTTAGTCAGCCACCAATTGTGCAAGTTCTCCCACTTAAAAAGATGAGAGAGGCCTGTAATTTTCATAATAGGTACACGTCAACTATGACAGACAAATTGAGTAAAAACATTCCAGAAAATCACATTGTAGGATTTTTAATGAATTTATTTGCAAATTATGGTGGAAAATAAGTATTTGGTCACCTACAAACAAGCAAGATTTCTGGCTCTCACAGACCTGTAACTTCTTCTTTAAGAGGCTCCTCTGTCCTCCACTCGTTACCTGTATTAATGGCACCTGTTTGAACTTGTTATCAGTATAAAAGACACCTGTCCACAACCTCAAACAGTCACACTCCAAGCTCCACTATGGCCAAGACCAAAGAGCTGTCAAAGGACACCAGAAACAAAATTGTAGACCTGCACCAGGCTGGGAAGACTGAATCTGCAATAGGTAAGCAGCTTGGTTTGAAGAAATCAACTGTGGGAGCAATTATTAGGAAATGGAAGACATACAAGACCACTGATAATCTCCCTCGATCTGGGGCTCCACGCAAGATCTCACCCCGTGGGGTCAAAATGATCACAAGAACGGTGAGCAAAAATCCCAGAACCACACGGGGGGACCTAGTGAATGACCTGCAGAGAGCTGGGACCAAAGTAACAAAGCCTATCATCAGTAACACACTACGCCGCCAGGTACTCAAATCCTGCAGTGCCAGACGTGTCCCCCTGCTTAAGCCAGTACATGTCCAGGCCCGTCTGAAGTTTGCTAGAGTGCATTTGGATGATCCAGAAGAGGATTGGGAGAATGTCATATGGTCAGATGAAACCAAAATATAACTTTTTGGTAAAAACTCAACTCGTCGTGTTTGGAGGACAAAGAATGCTGAGTTGCATCCAAAGAACACCATACCTACTGTGAAGCATGGAGGTGGAAACGTCATGCTTTGGGGCTGTTTTTCTGCAAAGGGACCAGGACGACTGATCCGTGTAAAGGAAAGAATGAATGGGGCCATGTATTGTGAGATTTTGAGTAAAAACCTCCTTCCATCAGCAAGGGCATTGAAGATGAAACGTGGCTGGGTCTTTCAGCATGACAATGATCCCAAACACACCGCCCGGGCAACGAAGGAGTGGCTTCGTAAGAAGCATTTCAAGGTCCTGGAGTGGCCTAGCCAGTCTCCAGATCTCAACCCCATAGAAAATCTTTGGAGGGAGTTGAAAGTCCGTGTTGCCCAGCGACAGCCCCAAAACATCACTGCTCTAGAGGAGATCTGCATGGAGGAATGGGCCAAAATACCAGCAACAGTGTGTGAAAACCTTGTGAAGACTTACAGAAAACGTTTGACCTGTGTCATTGCCAACAAAGGTATTGAGAAACTTTTGTTATTGACCAAATACTTATTTTCCACCATAATTTGCAAATAAATTCATTAAAAATCCTACAATGTGATTTTCTGGATTTTATTTTCTCATTTTGTCTGTCATAGTTGACGTGTACCTATGATGAAAATTACAGGCCTCTCTCATCTTTTGAAGTGGGAGAACTTGCACAATTGGTGGCTGACTAAATACTTTTTTTCCCCACTGTATCTCTCTTACATATCTAACATTATATCTCTCAAGCATTATATTGATTATATCTCTCTAATATGTCTCTCTAGCATTATATCTCTCTAACATGTAACGTGTGAAATGTGTTGTGCTATTTTAGAGGACAACCATGTATGTCTCTCTGAGTTAGTAGGGAATGTCAGTGATAAGATAGGATCTCACCTTCTCTCCATGGATGGACCTCCTGTGTCTTGCCGGCTGCAGCCAGTGTGGATAGGTAATCTCATAGCGCTCTATGGGTTCTATTCTGTGGCTGCTCTCCTGAGGGCTCGGTCCCAGCTCCTCTACACACAGGAATTACAACCATGTCAATAAAGGGGGCAGTAGAAGATTTTAATATGACGTCTCCTGATAAAATATAATAAAACAAGCTTGAGTAGTCATTGTAAAAACAAATCAAATACATTTTTATTTGTTACATGCCTCGTAAAACAACAGGTGTAGACTAACAGTGAAATGCTTACTTACGGGCCCTTCCCAACAATGCAGAGAGAAAGAAAATAGAGAAATAACAGAAACGTAAAACACGTAATAATGAAACACAATGAGTAACGATAACTTGGCTATATACACGGGGTACCAGTACAGAGTCCATTTGCAGGGATACGAGGTAATTGAGGTAGATATGTACATATAACTAAGAATAGAGTGACAGATAATAAACAGTAGCAGCAGCGTATGTGATGAGTCCAAAAGGTTAGTGCAAAAAAGAGTCAATGCAAACAGTCCGGTAGCTTTTTGGTTAAAGGTGCAATATGCAGAAATTGCTCCGCCATTTTCTGGTTGCTAAAATTCTAGTTTATGTGACAAAACAAGAGAATCATTGTACCATCTAAACCACTGTGAAATATATTTTAAATAACCAAAAATATTGTATTTTCAGCTGGTGTACAAAACCGGAAGTAAAAGACACAAAAACAAAACTTAAGAACGGGAAGCCTATAAATAGCGCAAACAGAACAGATCTACAGCTTCTTAGACTTGCTTTCGATGCAAATGGCAGATCTATAACTAAGATATCTATGTACATTTGGTCAGGTCGCCCAAAATGTTACATAATGCAGCTTTAACTATTTAACTAACTATTTAGCGGTCTTATGGCTTGGCGGTAGAAGCTGTTCAGGGTCCTGTTGGTTCCAGACTTGGTGCATCGGTACCCTTTGCAGTGCAGTAGCAGAGAGAACAGTCTATGACTTGGGTGGCTGGAGTCTTTGACAATTTTTAGGGCCTTCCTCTGACACTGAATATATTGATAAAAGTCACCTTGTCCAAGAGAGATTGACATGGTTATCAAAAAGTCATGCCAGAGTAAGCCTACACAAAACACAACCCTTATTTTAAGTTTCTAAAATTCCCTATGGGAAAAATTAAAAGTGGGAAAAGAAAATCAGTTTGACTGCTAGGTTTTATGGGTATTATGACACCTCCACTGTGGGGCTCTATACAGTTAGTTGAGTGCAGTCTCGGTTTGTGGTGGTAAATAGACAGCTACGAAAAATATACACTGAACAAAAATATAAACGCAACATGTAAAGTGTTAGTCCTATGTTTCATGAGCTGACATAAAAGATTCCCAAAATGTTCCATACACACAAAAAACGTATTTCTCTCAAATGTTGTGTGAGCAATTTTCCTTTGCCAATATAATCCATCCACCTGACAGGTGTGGCATATCAAGAAGCTGATTAAACAGCATGATCATTACACAGGTACACCTTGTGCTGGGGACAATAAAAGGCCACTCTAAAATGTGCAGTTTTGTTACAAAACACAACACCACAGCTGTCTCAAGTTGAGGGAGCATGCAATTAGCATGCTGACTGCAGGACTGTCCACCAAAGCTGTTGCAAGAGAATTTAAAATTCCATAAGCCACCTCCAACATCATTTTAGAGAACTACAATTTGGCAGTACGTCCAACCGGCCTCACAACCGCAGTATGGCATAGTGTGGGCGAGCGGTTTGCTGATGTCAACGTTGTGAACAGAGTGCCCCATGGTGGCGGTGTGGTTATTGTATGGGCCTGCATAAGCTATAGACAATGAACTAAATTGCATTTTATCTATGACAATTTGAATGCACAGAGATACCGTGACGAGATCCTGAGTCCCATTGTCGTACCAGTCATCCGGCGCCATCACCTCATGTTTCAGCATGATAATGCACGGCCCCATGTCGCAAGAATCTGTAAACAATTCCTGGAAGCTGAAAATGTCCCAGTTCTTCCATGGCCTGCATACTCACCAGACATGTTACCCTTTGAGCATGTTTGGGATGCTCTGGATTGACGTGTACCACAGCGTGTTCCAGTTCCCGTCAATATCCAGCAACTTCGAACAGTCATTGAAGAGGAGTGGGACAACATTCCACAGGCCACAATCAACAGCCTGATCAACTCTATGCGAATGAGATGTGTTGCGCTGCATGAGGCAAATGGTGGTCACACCAGATACTGACTGGTTTTCTGATCCACGCCCCTACCTTTGTTTGTTGTTGAAGGTATCTGTGACCAACAGATGCATATCTGTATTCCCAGTCAAGTAACATAGCCTCCCGTGTAGCTCAGTTGGTAGAGCATGGCGCTTGCAACGCCAGGGTTGTGGGTTCGATTCCCGCGGGGGTGGGGGCAAGTATAAAAAAATGTATGCACTCACTAACTGTAAGTCGCTCATCTGCTAAATGACAAAAATTTAAATGTAATCCATAGATTAGGGCCTAATTAATTTATTGATCTTTGAAATTGTTGCATGTTGCTTTATATTTTTGTTCAGTAAAGATGAAAACTCGCTTGGTAAATTAGTATGGTCTACAGCTTATGAGATGAAAAATATGCACATTCTACAGGTAGCCAACAGGAAATTCTGTAGTTGACTGTATATACACCTGAACTCAGTACATTCTTTGAGAAGTTGTCAAAATAATAGACTGCACTAGAAAACTTGCTTATGTTATGAATGAATAAGAACATGTATTATTTCAAACATTCACAATATCCTATACTAAGAAAGACTCAATAAGACATGAAAACACATGTAAACACACATGGGCTGAGTTAACTAACATTATGCACAGTTCAAAATAAATTATCCTTAAATATTTATCAATCATCCAGAAAAAGTAAATGTCCAATCATTAACTTACTGATTATTGTAATGAATAAACAGACTTACCGGCAGCAGCGTCGTGACCAGATACAACAGACCCAACACAGCAGATAACGACAATCAAATAAAGACTCAGACAGGAATATACAGAACTCAGATTAAAGCAGGTTAACTGTTCTCCTGGACTCATGCTAAAATAAAGGGTTTGAAATTAAACCCGAAAATATAATCGGTAACAGGAGTACGAAAAAATGCATATGCAAAGGACAAATAATAGCTGCCTGTCGACAGATCCTATGCCGCGGCTAAATGTGTAGGCGACAATAGCGCTCTATCGCTCTGTCTGTTCGGGATGCTTCCACAGAGGAAGAGCGCATCTTTTATCTGTTTCATTCAGTTATTCATTTCATTTTCAGTCCCTCCCCTTTACCCTATAAGTAACTGGTCGTGCGTGCGCCCGGCAGCGCGACTGAGACGCTCCAACGATTTCTGTGAGCCTATCGGTTTTGAAGACGGTTGAAGACTATATATTATTTTATGACGGCCCTAACACCTATGCGTTAGCATATAAAAAAAGTCATGATTTTTTTTCAAGTAATGATATGATAGGCGAATGGGAATTTTCAGAAATACAGAACGTCTCATGGCAATACTATAAAACATTTATACTAAAGATTAATTCTGTCACACAGCTCAGGCAATGTCCTAAAGGCCTCCTATTCCCTATATAGTGCACTGCTTTTGACCAGAGCCCATTTGACTGTAGGCACTCTGGGTGATAGTTATTGTTAGCACACTGGTGGTTTCTTGGCAGAGGGACAGTACAGCATGCCATGACCATGCTGGGGCTGGCCCCATCTCTGGGCAGGGATAGTAGTGGAGGGCAATCTGGTTTATGTAGGCCTACAGTACCAGCATTGTGTTTGATTTTACTGTACCTGAGAAACTAGGCTCCATCTTGTTTTTGCCCAGTCCCACCAAAAGCAATAACATTTATCAGCCACTGTAAACCAGGGTGTGTTGAACATGTCACACACTGTCAGGTGGAGGGGGTTTGAGTATGTCTGATAATATTAGAAGTGTCTAGTGTGCAGGAGACAGACCAGTATGCCATTCTCCTCTATCATCTAAAAGGAACTCTGGCACCGAAACACCATTCATTTATTGGTCAGCTATTGATTTTTATGTGATTCCATTAAAAGCCATTGCACGCAGGCACACAAACACACTTACCAGAAACCTGCTGGGACATCATGGAGACACAGGACGAAACATTAATAGTCAAAGACTACAGAATTGTCCTTTGTGAATTGAAATGGTGAGATATTCAGTTCACACCCACAAGGAAGCTTAAGTGACCAAAAGCAGCTGCAAACAGAGAAGAAATGAGACCGAAAGAGAGAAATGATCAGACATGCTTCTCAGTGAGACAAGCAGATCCTCTCTGTGGTTAACTGGCACATGCCCACACGCCCAACAGTAAGCCTACTAGTTTATTAGGATGATATAACATGCCAGCATTACCGCAGGAAAAAACATAATCAACAAATACTCTCTTGGTTTAACAGTTCCAGGCATAGAAAGACAGGCCGTATTTAAATCACAGTAAAATATTTGAATACAGTACATGAGCAAAGAGCATGATGGTGTTTGAGTTATGAAAGGACCGCCGACAATTTGTTCCAATCAAGAGTTAGTGATTAACAGTATCTGTCCATACAGAGTCCATGCCAGCTCTCAACCCTCTCCATCCCACAGCAGGAGAATTTAGGAGTACAACGAACTCACCCTAGGCTAGACTCTGTCCATGTTCAACATTATCCACAGAGGGCCGGTGTCTGTGCTGGTTTCAGCTCAACATTATCCACAGAGGGCCGGTGTCTGTGCTGGTTTCTGCTCAACATTATCCACAGAGGGCCGGTGTCTGTGCTGGTTTCTGCTCAACATTATCCACAGAGGGCCGGTGTCTGTGCTGGTTTCTGCTCTACATTATCCACAGAGGGCTGGTGTCTGTGCTGGTTTCTGCTCTACATTATCCACAGAGGGCCGGTGTCTGTGCTGGTTTCAGCTCTACATTATCCACAGAGGGCCGGTGTCTGTGCTGGTTTCTGCTCTACATTATCCACAGAGGGCCGGTGTCTGTGCTGGTTTCTGCTCTACATTATCCACAGAGGGCCGGTGTCTGTGCTGGTTTCTGCTCTACATTATCCACAGAGGGCTGGTGTCTGTGCTGGTTTCTGCTCTACATTATCCACAGAGGGCGGTGTCTGTGCTGGTTTCTGCTCTACATTATCCACAGAGGGCCGGTGTCTGTGCTGGTTTCTGCTCTACATTATCCACAGAGGGCTGGTGTCTGTGCTGGTTTCTGCTCTACATTATCCACAGAGGGCCGGTGTCTGTGCTGGTTTCTGCTCTACATTATCCACAGAGGGCCGGTGTCTGTGCTGGTTTCTGCTCTACATTATCCACAGAGGGCCGGTGTCTGTGCTGGTTTCTGCTCTACATTATCCACAGAGGGCTGGTGTCTGTGCTGGTTTCTGCTCTACATTATCCACAGAGGGCCGGTGTCTGTGCTGGTTTCTGCTCTACATTATCCACAGAGGGCCGGTGTCTGTGCTGGTTTCTGCTCTACATTATCCACAGAGGGCCGGTGTCTGTGCTGGTTTCTGCTCTACATTATCCACAGAGGGCCGGTGTCTGTGCTGGTTTCTGCTCTACATTATCCACAGAGGGCCGGTGTCTGTGCTGGTTTCTGCTCTACATTATCCACAGAGGGCCGGTGTCTGTGCTGGTTTCTGCTCTACATTATCCACAGAGGGCCGGTGTCTGTGCTGGTTTCTGCTCTACATTATCCACAGAGGGCCGGTGTCTGTGCTGGTTTCTGCTCTAAATTATCCACAGAGGGCCGGTGTCTGTGCTGGTTTCTGCTCTACATTATCCACAGAGGGCCGGTGTCTGTGCTGGTTTCAGCTCTACATTATCCACAGAGGGCCGGTGTCTGTGCTGGTTTCTGCTCTACATTATCCACAGAGGGCCGGTGTCTGTGCTGGTTTCTGCTCTACATTATCCACAGAGGGCCGGTGTCTGTGCTGGTTTCTGCTCTAAATTATCCACAGAGGGCCGGTGTCTGTGCTGGTTTCTGCTCTACATTATCCACAGAGGGCCGGTGTCTGTGCTGGTTTCAGCTCTACATTATCCACAGAGGGCCGGTGTCTGTGCTGGTTTCTGCTCTACATTATCCACAGAGGGCCGGTGTCTGTGCTGGTTTCTGCTCTACATTATCCACAGAGGGCTGGTGTCTGTGCTGGTTTCTGCTCTACATTATCCACAGAGGGCCGGTGTCTGTGCTGGTTTCTGCTCTACATTATCCACAGAGGGCCGGTGTCTGTGCTGGTTTCTGCTCTACATGCCCAGAGGATGCCTGGTTGTTCTTTAAAAGTCATTTCCTCTCAATCTTAAATAAACATGCCCCATTCAAAAAAATACAGAACTAAGAACAGATATAGCCCCTGGTTCTCCTCAGACTTGACTGCCCTTGACCAGCACAAAAACATCCTGTGGCGTACTGCATTAGCATCAAATAGCCCCCGCGATATGCAACTTTTCAGGGAAGTTAGGAACCAATATACACAAGCAGTCAGGAAAGCAAAGGCTAACTTTTTCAAACAGAAATTTGCATCCTGTAGCACTAACTCCAAAAAGTTTTGGGACACTGTAAAGTCCATGGAGAATAAGAGCACTTCCTCCCAGCCCACTGCACTGAGGCTAGGAAACACTATCACCACCGATAAATCTACAATAATCAAGAATTTCAACAAGCATTTTGCTACGGCTGGCCATGCTTTCCACCTGGCTACCACAACCCCGGCCACCAACTCTGCACCCTCCACTGCAACTTGCCCATGCCCAATCCACAGAGGGCCGGTGTCTGTGCTGGTTTCTGCTCTACATTATCCACAGAGGGCCGGTGTCTGTGCTGGTTTCTGCTCTACATTATCCACAGAGGGCCGGTGTCTGTGCTGGTTTCTGCTCTACATTATCCACAGAGGGCCGGTGTCTGTGCTGGTTTCTGCTCTACTAGGAAAAGTTCCGCTCAGCAGTTGTCATCTTCTAGAATGTGGGGGTGTTCCTCCCAGAACTGGTCCCCTATGACGTCACAGTGGTGGGCACTGACACGTCTCCTGGTGCGTGTCACTGGCACCTCCTCCTCCTCCTCCTCCTCCTCCTTCTCCTCGTTGGGGAGCATCACAGTCTTGGTCACTGTTTCTTCCAGCTGGGACAGAGGGAGGGAGGAAGGGGGGTAGAGAGTTTGACAGAAGCGAATGATGGGGTTAACCATCATAATAATATAATAATAATAGTAATTAGCAGGTGGGTGCTTACATTTGTCCTACTTCAGACGTGTGAATTATAATCTCACTCCCCCAGACACCCTTGGAGTGGGGTGTCACGGCCAGGGATGAGCAAGGCGACCCTGGAGCAATTAGGATTAAGTGCCTTGCTCAAGGGCACATTGACCGATTTTTTTACCTAGTCATCTCTGGGATTCAAACCAGAGGCATTTCAGTGACTGGCCAAACGCTCTTAACCGCTACCTACTGCCCTCACACACAAGCCAGGAAGTATTTCTATGAATGGATCTGAAATGGCATCCTATTCTCTATATAGTGCACTACTTTTGACAGGAGGCTCTATATAAGGAATAGGGTGCATTAAAGACAACCTGAGATCTCACCTTCTCCCAGATGAGGGTGGTTCCTTTCCTGTGGACCAGAGGCTCCTTGTTGTAATTGATATCAAACTCAGAAAACATGATCTCATTCTTATCTGCTGCCAACGTTCCCTGGGAGAGAGAGAGACAGACAGAGACCAAGAGAGAGGGAGCGAGAGAGAGAGAGAGACAGACAGAGGCCGAGAGAGAGGGAGATACATCAGAGATTTGATTATGTATCTAAAGGGCTTGGTAAATTAAATATGGAAAGGTCAACTGAGGTAGTTTTCAGTGAAAGTAAACAACATGATGTAGTCATCCATCCTAAAGCTATTATCATAATAATTATAAAGTTATGACCAACAAGCAGATGCCCCTTAGAAAATTACATACCTCAAAAAGAGCAGATATTTTAAGACTGTGACATACCCCCAAAGCTGTAATTATGCTAATCTGACTGGAGTAAGTCTCACCTTTAGCCTATCCTCTGCCTGTGTAGTGGTGAGTCCACCTTTCTGCACCAACGTCCAAAACACTGTTATACAGGTTGTTGAGATGACCTGGAGAGCACACACACAGGATTATGAAAGAGAACCAGAAATATGGAAGAAAATCTACTGTATTCAAAGCACACACCCACAGGATCATGTATTGGGGGAATAGGAGAGTGTGTGTGTGTGTACACTTACAGTCAGCCTGCCTCCAGCTGAGGTAGTCCCGGAGGTTGCGGTTGCTAGGATACAGAACCACCCGCCCGTCAAACCCTGGGGGGTAGAGGAGGGGCTGGTCTCCGAAATAGTCCCTCCAGTAGAACACATAGGAAGAGGAGAACTGGGACACTACATAGGTCATCAGCTTACTGTAGGGGGGAGGAGGGGGGATGGAGGAGGGCAGGTAGAGGAGGGGAAGAGGAGTGGAGGGTGGATGGATGGAGGAGGGCAGGTAGAGGAGGGGGAGAGGAGTTGAGGGTGGGTGGATGGAGGAGGGCAGGTAGAGGAGGGGGAGAGGAGTGGAGGGTGGATGGAGGAGGGCAGGTAGAGGAGGGGGAGAGGAGTGGAGGGTGGGTGGGTGGGTGGATGGAGGAGGGCAGGTAGAGGAGGGGGAGAGGAGTGGAGGGTGGGTGGATGGAGGAGGGCAGGTAGAGGAGGGGGGAGAGGAGTGGAGGGTGGGTGGATGGAGGAGGGCAGGTAGAGGAGGGGGAGAGGAGTGAAGGGTGGATGGATGGAGGAGGGCAGGTAGAGGAGGGGGAGAGGAGTGGAGGGTGGGTGGATGGAGGAGGGCAGGTAGAGGAGGGGGAGAGGAGTGGAGGGTGGGTGGATGGAGGAGGGCAGGTAGAGGAGGGGGAGAGGAGTGGAGGGTGGATGGATGGAGGAGGGCAGGTAGAGGAGGGGGAGAGGAGTGGAGGGTGGGTGGATGGAGGAGGGCAGGTAGAGGAGGGGGAGAGGAGTGGAGGGTGGATGGAAGAGGGCAGGTAGAGGAGGGGGAGAGGAGTGGAGGGTGGATGGAGGAGGGCAGGTAGAGGAGGGAGAAGATGAGAAAAGTGAGGGGTCACTCAAACGCAATAAACATTTATTGTGTGTGGCTGTGGATGTGTGTGGTTGGGGAGTGTCTGTGTGGCGGTGTGTGTGTGTCTCTCTGTACATTCTATTACCTGGCTCTCCTCTTGAACCAGTTGGAGGTCCACTTGAAGACGAAGCTGAACTCGTCACTCTGTCCGTACGAGATGATGATGTCATCCAGGTCCTCCATGACAGACCTGGCACTGCGCGTCATCAGACCCAGAGCTCTGTCATCATTGGGCTTCAGGAAGTTGTGCTGCTCTGCAAACCTACAGCAACACAGGGTCAGTCAGTCAGTCAGTCAGTGGGTCGGTCAGTCAGTCGGTCAGTCAGTCAGTGGGTCAGTCAGTCAGTGGGTCGAGCTACAGTTACTAACACTAGTGGTAATTTGTCACCTGGCTTCTCATTCAGTTTCCCCAGTCCACTTCAAGGGTGCATCTCAATAATAAAATGCCTCCTTCCCTTCCTTCTTGGTCACTAAGCAATTGACTGTGAAATGGGACAGGAACTTCCTTTTATGGTAACGATTTTCTCCACATATTCAGTCTGCACAGATCATTCAGTTCAGAAGAGAGGAGAGGATGCCAATTAATCCCAAAGGTCTTCGATGGGGTTGAGGTCAGGGCTCTGTGCAGGCCAGTCAAGTTCTTCCACACCGATCTCGACAAACCATTTCTGTATGGACCTTGCTTTGTGCACGGGGGCATTGTTATGCTGAAACAGGAAAGGGCCTTCCCTAAAATGTTGCCACAAAGTTGGAAGCACAGAATCGTCTAGAATGTAATTGTATGCTGTAGCATTACGATTTCCCTTCACTGGAACTAAGGGGCCAAGCCCGAATCATGAAAAACAGCCCCAGACCCTCATTCCTCCTCCACCAAACTTTCGTCCATCTAACTGCCAGATGGTGAAGTATGATTCATCACTCCAGAGAACGCGTTTCCACTGCTCCAGAGTCCAATGGCAGCGAGCTTTACACCACTCTAGCTGACGCTTGGCATTGACACATGGTGATATTCGGCAGTGTGCAGCTGCTCGGCCATGGAAACCCATTTCACAAAGCTCCCGACGAACAGTTCTTGTGTTGACGTTACTTCCACAGGCAGTTTGAACTCGGTAGTGAGTGTTGCAACCGAGGACAGACGACTTTACACGCTACGCGCTTCAGCACTCGGCGGTCCCGTTCTGTGAGCTTGTGTGGCCTAACACTTCGCGGCTGAGCCGTTGTTTCCACTTCACAATAACAGCACTTACAGTTGACTGGGGTAGCTCTAGCAAGGAAGAAATTTGATGAACTTGTTGGAAAGGTGGCACCATATGACCGTGCCACGTTGAAAGGCACTGAGCTCTTCAGTAAGGCCATTCTACTGCCAATGTTTGTCTATGGAGATTACATGGCTGTGTGCTCGATTTTATACACCAGTCAGCAACGGGTGTGGCTGAAATAGCCGAATCCAATAATTTCAAGAGGTGTCCACATACTTTTGTATATATAGTGTACTTACAAATGGTTGTCATCCTCTTCGGATCATGATGAATACTTCCTTAATACAATGCTATAACTTAGTTTACTTTAGTTGAATCATTGTAAGTGATGCTATTGTCGAGGCAGTGCTGTAAAAAAAATGTTTTTGTGAGAATGTAGCTGGCAAAGGACAGAACAAGTTATTTTCGCCAGCGATTGTAAACAGTCCATCCACCAAATAGGTCCTACTCGAACAGATACTGCGAATTTCAGTTCCGGAACAGTTTCTCATCTACGATCTCACTACAAAAAAAGAAGAAACAAAAACAAACTAATATTAATTATTTTTGTTGATTATCTTTTAGTTCAGTTCCTGGACATAATTCCCTTAAAAAAATTATAAAAAAACAACTAATATGTAATTTTGTTGCATCTGCCTCAATTCTGCTGCATGGTACTTCAGCGCCCTCTCCTGGTGAAAATAGAGAAATGCAGCGGAAGAATAACTTTCCCATGATTCTTAGCCTCGTGCATGTCTGCGGTTGTTTCAAACATGGAGGAGAGGGAAAGAAGAGGAGATAAACAACAAAAATGTCCAGAATCAGAAAAGAAAGAATCAACAAGTGCATGTGCTTCAGATGCAACCGAACATACGGCAGAAGAAGAAGATGATATCGCGGCAAAGTTGGACGTCACCTCCGATAAATTTGATCCACTCCTGGCGCTCTACTCGACTACAGTGCCTCTTCCATACCCCAACGTGAAATGCTTCAACAACATTGCGGAGTATGAGAGCTTTCTGAAGGGGGGGCGGGGCCGCGCCAAGCCGGAGAACGTGGAGAAAAAACAGAGGAAAGCTAGGAAAGGTGTAGCGGATCCGGAGAGGATAGAGAAACTGAAGAGGTTGATGGTGAACAACCCGATAGAGGGAGAAGATGGAGAGGAGGGGACCAGCGGCACTGCCCGGCGTTGTAGAATGCAGAAGGCTGCCAAGAATGTCCTGACCAGGATGCCTCGTATGTCGTGAATTATTTCTAGCTATTGTAGGTCTGCTTTGAATAATTTAGTTTTTGGTGGTTTGGTTTCGGATCAAAACATGACCTCTTTCATTCTTACTTATGATCATTGTCTCATATTGCCACATATATAGGCAAATTAAAACACTTTATTGATATGTGGGGCATTATTGATGAGTCAAACTTGTGGTTGACAGCCAGGAGAATTCTATTTCAGCCAGGTGAATTCTATTTCATGTCTACTTCCTGTTTATACAGTCCATACAGGAAGTCCTCTGGGGGAGCTGCACCGCTGCGTGGAGGAGAGGATCAGGGTGAAAGTTCACATCAGAACCTTCAAGGGGCTCCGTGGAGTGTGTTCTGGCTTTATAGTGGCCTTCGACAAGTTTTGGAACATGGTGAGAGCTCACCCCCTTCCCTCGCCCTTACCCTACACCGCCTCTCAAATCAAATCAAATCAAATCAAATCAAATTTTATTGGTCACATGCGCCGAATACAACAGGTGCAGACATTACAGTGAAATGCTTACTTACAGCCCTTAACCAACAGTGCATTTATTTTAAACAGAAAAAGTAAGAATAAAACAACAAAAAAGTGTTGAGAAAAAAAGAGCAGAAGTAAAAATAAAGTGACAGTAGGGAGGCTATATATACAATAGAATAAAGTGACAGTAGGGAGGCTATATATACAGGGGGGTACCGTTGCATAGTCAATGTGCGGGGGCACCGGCTAGTTGAGGTAGTTGAGGTAATATGTACATGTGGGTAGAGTTAAAGTGACTATGCATAAATACTTAACAGAGTAGCAGCAGCGTAAAAAGTATGGGGTGGGGGGGCAGTGCAAATAGTCCGGGTAGCCATGATTTAGCTGTTCAGGAGTCTTATGGCTTGGGGGTAGAAGCTGTTGAGAAGTCTTTTGGACCTAGACTTGGCACTCCGGTACCGCTTGCCGTGCGGTAGCAGAGAGAACAGTCTATGACTAGGGTGACTGGAGTCTTTGACAATTTTGAGGGCCTTCCTCTGACACCGCCTGGTATAGAGGTCCTGGATGGCAGGGAGCTTTGCCCCTGTGATGTACTGGGCCGTACGCACTACCCTCTGTAGTGCCTTGCGGTCAGAGGCCAAGCAGTTGCCATACCAGGCGGTGATGCAACCAGTCAGGATGCTCTCGATGGTGCAGCTGTAGAATTTTTTGAGGATCTGAGGACCCATGCCAAATCTTTTTAGTCTCCTGAGGGGGAATAGGCTTTGTCGTGCCCTCTTCACGACTGTCTTGGTGTGTTTGGACCATGATAGTTCGTTGGTGATGTGGACACCAAGGAACTTGAAGCTCTCAACCTGTTCCACTACAGCCCCGTCGATGAGAATGGTGGCTTACAGACTAGACTATAGTCTGATGTAAGACAGTGCTCACATTACATTTAACATTTTAGTCATTTAGCAGACGCTCTTATCCAGAGCGACTTACAGGAGCAATTAGGGTTAAGTGCCTTGCTCAAGGGCACAGACAGATTTTTCACCTAGTCGGCTCGGGGATTAGAACCAGCGACCTTTCGGTTACTGGCACAACGCTCTTAACCACTAAGCTACCTGCCGCCACATAACCTTACACATCGCTGTCCTCTCTCTCACTCACACTCTATTCCCTCTCCTCTCTCTCTCCCTGCCAGGCGATGGTAGATGTAGATGAGACCTACAGGGAACCTCTGCTGGGTGAAGCTCTCTACCACGAGAAGGCCCTAACTGTCACACGGGTAGGTCTGGCTGCCACCGAAGGGCTCTGATCCTCTAGTCTAGTGGTGCATTCTAGAGAATAGGGTGTTGTTTTGGATGCAGATGATGACATTTCCAGATCATGTAACACTCACTAAAAAAGGTACAGCCATTATCATTCTCTGCATTCAGAAAACAAACTCATTAGCTATCGCAAAGACTGTTTTAACCCCTTTGTCCCCCCTCTCCTTCTGTAGCTCTTTGACAAGTTGAAACTCCAGGAGAGTGCGGCGCTGAGAGAATGTGAGAAGAAGCAGATAGACAAGAGGAAAGCTGAACCCTTCCATCCCCCGTCTGAGACCCAAACCAGAGACGGCAGACGAGGGGACCTCAGGAGGAGAGGGGACCCTAGGGCAGTGGACCCCCGACTTGCGAGGGCCACAGTGGGCAATGAACCTGGAGCCCTAGGGGCCACAGCTAAGACCCAGGGGTCAAATGTTAAAGGTCAGGAGTCAGGGACCGAGGGGCCCCAGAGAAGAGGGCCCCAGCCCTACGGGAGGGTTCACACACGCCACGTCAACCAGCTCTTCATACGGGGAGAGAACGTGCTTCTAGTCAACCTACAACCATTCTGAACCTATTGCGTATTTTAGCCAGCAGGGGTGGCAACCTAGCCTGGAACCGGAAGGCAGTCTGTTCCTGCTCTCTTGCCAACTCCTTATGGAGTTTCCATGCCAAACATGAGCAGAAGCAGATAGACTGGCACCTGGGCTAGTAGCAACCCTCCAGGAAAGTTACTAGACCTGAAGGTCCAACACACTGACGCGTTACCAAGACCTACTACAGTATCTACACTGGTTTAGACCAACCAAGAAGTCTCACTGCTGCTGCATATCATATTGATATTTATTCTCTGCTTTACGCAGGCAGAAATTAATTAGAAATAAAACATGAATTACCAAGCTGTCTTCTCTTATCTGATCTTTGCCTCTGGGTCAAATTGAAATGCAGGCATGGAGTGCACCACTGTAAATAACCACCAGAGGGCAGTATAGACTCATAAGACATCTCACCAAGTTAAAATAAAAATAATGTAAGAATATAAAAGTAGCCTAACCCAATAAACGTAGTTAAATTTTTATTGTAAATATGCAGGTTATAACCTCAAACAACTGCAAATCAGAAAACCCATAAATGTCATCCATGCTATGCCCGTCCAACGAACTCCAACTTCAGATAACACATGGGGGCATATTACCACTAAAAAGAGGAAAGTCTACTGTTTGTCACATCTTGCTTTTCTCTGTCAGTTAGAGCAGAAACGGCAGCGTGGCCTGGTCTCAGAGGACCTCGTGTGTGTGTGTTATGAATAATGGAAATGGGGAAGCTCGAGATTGCAGACGGCACTAAGCAGCAACTCTTATTTGTCTAGACATTTCAGATTGTGCTTTATTCTTTAATGGCCACATTAGCCAGAAACAGCATGTCATTGGTTTTGTGTAGCTGCTGCTTTGTCTATAAACTACAGAGAGGTTACCCAAGGACAATAAACCTGAACCTTCAGAATTGCACATTTTCCATAATACCTTGGAACTGTTGTGCAGTATCTGTTAAATTGTTCAAACTGTGTCTGAGACAAGACATTATCCTGCAGTACCGGAGTTTTACTTGCTCTCCGCTCTTCTTATACCTCAATCTGATCTATTCATTCCCAAGCCAAGGTCCTCCACGTGGTTGCATACTGATGCACTGGCCAGATGGCTGTGTGTGTGTGTGTGTGTGTGTGGGTCTGTAGGGCTCCAAGGCCACCGTTCTACTCCAAAGCAGTAGTAACCAAGTTGGTCTTAAGTTAAAAACTTAACTTAAGTTAAGTTTACCAAAAAAAGTTAAGATTACCAAACTGTAATCAACAGTTTTAATGTCGTAGATAAAGGATCATGATGGGACAATCAAAAAAACTACATTTTCTCAAGGCTTCTTTCGTTGGTGATGCTTTGTTTTTTTCCATTTATACATTTGCATAAACTAGTGTTTTCTTTTCAGTAACAATCTCACATTACAGAAGATCTCAGAACAATTGTAATAAGTAGAAAAAAATAAACAAACCACGAAAGAATAAACACAACCCCCTAAGGATATCATCTCTTAGAAAAAACAAACAAGAGTCGATAGATTTTGGTCGTTTCGAACAGGTAATGCCTCAGCTCAGACAGAAGGCTACTGTGTGTATCTGTGCAGGGTTGGGGTCAACTCAATTTCAATTCCAGTCAATTGAGAAAGTAAACCAAATAAAACAATTCTCTAACTGAAAAGCATTGAAGAAATTGGAATTTCAGTGTACCTCCAGAATTGAAATGGAATTGACCCCAACTCATGGAAGAGGACATTGCTCTGAGACAGAGGAGTCTAGCGTACATGTGAGGTACTCACTGGCCTAGTAGAGATGGTCCTGACTTCAACATGTACAGAGTGTGCATTCCAAATTGCACCAATTTCCTATATAGTGCACTACTTTTGACCCGAATCCTATGGGCCCTTGTCAAAAGTAGTGCACTATAAAAAGTGATGCAACCAAATGGGATGCAACCAAAACCAAAATAAAAAATAGCGACAAATCCTCTCCTAGACCTGGACTGTCTGAGAAACCTCTCCTTCAGAGATGCGCTCTGGGGTGACGTTTCCCCCAAGCACAGATCTAGGATCAGCTTCCCCTCCCACAAACCTAACCTTAACCATTAGTGGGGGGAAATGGTAAACTGACCCAGGATCAGCAACTAGGGGCAACTTCCCCCTACTCCCAGAGGCCAGAGGGAGCCGTAAGAACCACACATGCATACTGTGCTGTAGACTCCTAACAGTAACCGTCTTGACCACTGTATAGTTGTATCGTCTGTCTCCTGTAAGTTATAATGAAGGAAAAAGGCCTCCGTCTTACAGGCTCGATGTGCAGTACTTAAAGAACGCAACCCACCATGAGGTTGCTCCTAGATCTACTGATTATCTTATTTGGATGAAAGGAAAAAAATGACAATATTTATTTAAAAAAGATTTACCCATAAGAAAGGCCACAAAGGAGATCTGTGTTTTATCAACACAACAGCTTCTTCATTTAACAGCTTTCAATCATTTTTCATTCATTCACTTATTAAATCCACCGATCAATAAACGATTGATTGATCTGTTAAATCTAATATTGAACAGAAATTCCACATTGGGGATGTAGAACGCTGTTATATAAAGTAAGTATTAAACACTGACTCCAGGGCAATGTATCTTGCCATAGCAACGTCTTGATTGACATCTGATTCTGTCCAATCGACACACACCTCTCACGGCATCATATCATAATCAAGTACTCAATAACTTATTTGTCCGTCACACCAAAGTAATATTTACAGTTGTAGGGAAGGGACAGGTCGAGGTAACATGACACTAAAAGAGATGGATGGGGAATTATTGGGGTGGGATTATCATATAAAACTAGATTTCTGCTACTCTGGACATTTAATTGGTTAAGTAAAGCAAAACCCCCACTGTAATTCTCTTGAAGGAAGATTCATATGGACAATTCCATGGTAATGATTTTTTAAATGCAATTCAAAACAAAAAAACTATTATTGCAAAGTTAAACAAACCATACAAGTCGTCCTTGTGCATATAATTGTATGGGTTGTTTAACTTTGCAATCATTGGTTTTTGTTTGGCATACATTTTAAAAGGTGAAACATCTGAGTCTCAGCATCATTCGGTTACTGTGTTTTCCGCCCTCTCACTCCCTCCCTCTCCCTTAGCTGTTCTCTCTTTCTCTCTGATTCAAACCCCAACAGCACACAACCATTACTGTACACCCTCTAAAAGGTACTTCATTCCAAGTTCCAACTGATTAAAACATACATACATTCATGTATATTCATATCTCTCTACACATCACTTAAAAAAAGGAAAGAAACAGGAAATGGAGGTGTGGCAGTCAGTATCTGATATTTGACAATATTTAAGTACTCTTTGTTTGCAGCTCTTCACAATCCTTCACGGACGGTCGGTTGGATAGAGAGTAAAATAGAAACAGCCCTCTCTTTCACTTCACCTCTTCTTCCCTCAGTTTCTGAAGTTGCCGAAATCTGCGAAGGCCTCCAAGCCTTGCTTGGGCTGCTGCTGTACCATGCCAGAGCCCATAGACATGGCTGACATCCCCATGCCCATGCCCATAGCACCAGGCATGCCCATCCCCATGGTCATGTTAGCCTGGGGCATGGCGCCCATGTTCATGCCCATTCCCATCCCAGCACCGGGGTGCATCATGGGAGTTGTAGCCGGTCTGATGGGGGCGAGGCCCATGCCGGCGAATCCCTGGGAGAGCATGTTGACGGGTGGGAGGGGCTGGCCTCCTAGAAGACAGAAACAGGAAGAAGTGAGATCAGAGGACAGCATGACCTCATACACACAGGTTCACACACTCTTTTCACACACTCCATACTGAACAAGTAGTCCCAAGCATCCTTCTACTCCATACTGAACAAGTAGTCCCAAGCATCCTTCTACTCCATACTGAACAAGTAGTCCCAAGCATCCTTCTACTCCATACTGAACAAGTAGTCCCAAGCATCCTTCTACTCCATACTGAACAAGTAGTCCCAAGCATCCTTCTACTCCATACTGAACAAGTAGTCCCAAGCATCCATATTATTCATCAGCGTTTTGAACCCCCTCCAGATAAACACAGTCCTATTTCTATCCCAGTCTAAACTACAACACAGAAGGCTCACCGTGGAGTGTGTTGAGGGTGGGCTGGGCAGGTTTGGGGGGCTGCAGGCCGGGTGCCAGGAAGTCCAGACTGATGTTGACTGAAGAGTCAGACCAGGTGGAGGGGATCGCTGACCCCATGGAACCCTGGGTACCCAGCATGACTTGCTGCTGCTGCTGGGGCTGCAACGGCCCGCCCATCACCTGGAAGGGGGAGGGGACAATTTGGTAGTGAGGTGACCTATATAAATGGTGACATATGAAGGTTGAACTGCTGTCTCTAAAGTAATCTACATAAAAACACATCTCAACTCATCTAACCAGAATGAACAGGTTAGATGATTATTCTGCAAAACTAAGCTTGTCATTTTTAAGTACACTACCAGGCAAAAGTTTGGACACACCTACTCATTCCAGGGTTTGTCTTTATTTTTTGCTATTTTCTACATTGTAGAATAATAGTGACGAGATCAAAACTATGAAATAACACATATGGAATCATGTAGTAACCAAAAAAGTGTTAAACAAATCAAAATATATTTTTTGGATTTAGATTATTCAAAGTAGCCACCCTTTGCCTTGATGACAGCTTTGCACACGCTTGGCATTCTCTCAACCAGATTCATGAGGTAGTCACCTGGAATGCATTTAAATTAACAGGTGTGCCTTGTTAAAAGTTAATTTGTGGAATTTCTTTCCTTCTTAATGCGTTTGAGCCAATCAGTTGTGTTGTAACAAGGTAGGGTTGGTATACAGAAGATAGCCCTATTTGGTAAAAGACCATGTCCATATTATGGCAAGACAGGCGAGACAGCTCAAATAAGCAAAGAGAAACAACAGTCCATCATTACTTTAAGAGATGAAGGTCAGTCAATCCAGAAAACTTTGAAAGTTTCTTCAAGTGCAGTCACAAAAACCATTAAGCACTATGGTGAAACTGGCTCTCATGAGGACCGCCACAGGAAAGGAAGACCCAGAGTTACCTCTGCTGCAGAGGATAAGTTCATTAGAGTTACCATCCTCAAATCGGCAATTAACTGCCCCTCAGATTGCAGCCCAAATAAATGCTTCACAGATTTCACGTAACAGACACATCAATATCAACTGTTCAGAGGAGACTGCGTGAATCAGGCCTTCATGGTCGAATTGCTGCAAAGAAACCACTACTAAAGGACACCAATAATAAGAAGAGACTTGCTTGGGCCAAAAAACACCAGCAATGGACATTAGACCGGTGGAAATCTGTTCTTTGGTCTGATGAGTCCAAATTTGAGATTTTTAGTTCCAACCGACGCAGAGTAGGTGAACGGATGATCTCCACAGGTGTGGATCCCACCTTGAAGCATGGAGGAGGTGGTGTGATGCTGTGGGGGTGCTTTGCTGGTGACACGGTCTGTGATTTATTTAGAATTCAAAGCACACTTAACCAACATGGCTACCACAGCATTCTGCAACGATATGCCATCCCATCTGGTTTGTGCTTAGTGGGACTATCATTTATTTTTCAACAGGACAATGAACCAAAACACACCTCCAGGCTGTGTAAGGGCTATTTGACCAAGAAGGAGAGTGATGGAGTGACCTGGCCTCCACAATCACCCGACCTCAACCCAATTGAGATGTTTGGGATGAGTTTGACCGCAGAGTGAAGGAAAAGCAGCCAACAAATGCTCAGCATATGTGGGAACTCATTCAAGACTGTTGGAAAAGCATTCCTCATGAAGCTGGTTGAGAGAATGCCAAGAGTGTGCAAAGCTGTCATCAAGGCAAAGGGTGGCTACTTTGAAGAATCTCAAATATAAAATACATTTTGATTTGTTTAACACTTTTTTGGTTACTACATGATTCCATATGTGTTATTTCACAGTTTTGATGTCTTTACTATTATTCTACATAAATAAATAAAGAAAAACCATTGAATGAGTAGGTGTGTCCAAACGTTTGACTGGTACTGTAGGTCAGGTTTTTAACATGCAAATAACATCTATGCAAACAACCTTGTATTAGATTTAATGGTTTTCTGACTTAAACTGGTTCCTTCTCATTGTGTGTGTTTGTCCCTAGGGAAGGTGGAGCATCTGCAAACCTTAGCTCTCTGCCATTTCTCTCTGGTGTGTGTTCCTCTAAACCACAGCCAGTTACTGTCGCTCCTCTCATTAACAGTGCATCAGGTACAATAAGGACAATTTCCTGTGTGTACCATGTCTGTCCTGTATTCTTACCAGTGATCTGGACTGTGGCATGGTACTGCTGATGGTCTGTGTGCTGGTCATATTAAAGGTGAGGCTCTGAGAGGCAGAGAGAGACTGGGTCGGGACCGGACCCATCAGGTCAAACAGGTCAGCTGAGGCTGGAGCAGAGCTGGCCGACAGAGCCCCAAACAGGTCAGTGTTGCTGGGGGCCAGAGGCTGGGCGAAGGGGGCCTGGCTGTCAGGGAAAGCATTCCAGTCCCCAAAGTCACCGTTCCCGCTGGAGGCTGGAGAGAAGAGGAGAGAGGAAAAAGGTTATAGTGGATAAACTAGCCTATAAAAAAACAAACAATGGATCTCTCTCACTCACACAAAGTCGGAAGTTTACATACACCTTAGCCAAATACATTTAAACTCAGTTTTTCACAATTCCTTCCCTAGTATAAATTCCCTGTCTTAGGTCAGTTAGGATCACCACTTTATTTTAAGAATGTGAAATGTCAGAATAATAGTAGAGAGAATGATTTCTTTCATCATATTCCCAGTGGGTCAGAAGTTTACATACACTCAATTAGTATTTGGTAGCATTGCCTTTAAATTGTTTAACCTGGGTCAAACGTTTTGGGTAGCCTTCCACAAGCTTCCCACAATAAGTTGGGTGAATTTTGGCCATTCCTCCTGACAGAGCTGGTGTAACGGAGTCAAGTTTGTAGGCCTCCTTGCTCGCACACGCTTTTTCAGTTCTGCCCACAAATGTTCTATAGGATTGAGGTCAGGGCTTTGTGATGGCCACTCTAATACCTTGACTTTGTTGTCCTTAAGCCATTTTGCCACAACTTTGGAAGTATGCTTGGGGTCATTGTCCATTTGGAAGACCCATTTGCGACCACGCTTTAACTTCCTGACTGATGTCTTGAGTTGCTTCACTATATCCACATCATTTTCCTTCCTCATGATGCCATCTATTTTGTGAAGTGCACCAGTCCCTCCTGCAGCAAAGCACCCCCACAGCATGATGCTGCCACCCCTGTGCTTCATGGTTGGGATGGTGTTCTTTGGCTAGCAAGCCTCCTCCCTTTTCCTCCAAACATACAGTGGGGAGAACAAGTATTTGATACACTGCCGATTTTGCAGGTTTTCCTACTTACAAAGCATGTAGAGGTCTGTAATTTTTATCATAGGTACACTTCAACTGTGAGAGACGGAATCTAAAACAAAAATCCAGAAAATCACATTGTATGATTTTTAAGTAATTAATTTGCATTTTATTGCATGACATAAGTATTTGATACATCAGAAAAGCAGAACTTAATATTTGGTACAGAAACCTTTGTTTGCAATTACAGAGATCATATGTTTCCTGTAGGTCTTGACCAGGTTTGCACACACTGCAGCAGGGATTTTGGCCCACTCCTCCATACAGTGGTTGTTGCCTTCTCACCAAGCTGCTTGCCCATTGTCCTGTAGCCCATCCCAACCTTGTGCAGGTCTACAATTTTATCCCTGATGTCCTTACACAGCTCTCTGGTCTTGGCCATTGTGGAGAGGTTGGAGTCTGTTTGATTGAGTGTGTGGACAGGTGTCTTTTATACAGGTAACGAGTTCAAACAGGTGCAGTTAATACAGGTAATGAGTGGAGAACAGGAGGGCTTCTTAAAGAAAAAGTAACAGGTCTGTGAGAGCCGGAATTCTTACTGGTTGGTAGGTGATCAAATACTTATGTCATGCAATAAAATGCAAATTAATTACTTAAAAATCATACTATGTGATTTTCTGATTTTTTTTTTTTTGATTCCGTCTCTCACAGTTGAAGTGTACCTATGATAAAAAATTACAGACCTCTACATGCTTTGTAAGTAGGAAAACCGGCAAAATCGGCAGTGTATCAAATACTTGTTCTCCCCACTGTAACTATGGTCGTTATGGCCAAACAGTTCTATTTTTGTTTCATCAGATCAGAGGACATTTCTCCAGAAAGTACGATCTTTGTCCCCATGTGCAGTTGCAAACTGTAGTCTGGCTTTTTTATGGCGGTTTTGGAGCGTGGGCTCTTCCTTGCTGAGCGGCCTTTCAGGTTATGTCGATATAGGACTCGTTTTACTGTGGATATAGATACTTTTGTACCCGTTTTCCTCCAGCATCTTCACAAGGTCCTTTGCTGTTGTTCTGGGATTGATTTGCACTTTTCGCACCAAAGTACGTTCATCTCTAGGAGACAGAACGCGTCCCCTTCCTGAGCGGTATGACGGCTGCGTGGTCCCATGGTGTTTATACTTGCGTACTATTGTTTGTACAGATGAACGTGGTACCTTCAGGCGTTTGGAAATTGCTCCCAAGGATGAACCAGACTTGTGGAGGTCTACAATAATTTTTCTGAGGCCTTGGCTGATTTTTTTTTATTTTCCCATGATGTCAAGCAAAGAGGCACTGAGTTTGAAGGTAGGCCTTGATATACATCCACAGGTACACCTCCAATTGACTCAAATGATGTCAATTAGCCTATCAGAAGCTTCTAAAGCCATTACATTTTCTGGAATTTTCCAAGCTGTTTAAAGGCACAGTCAGCTTAGTGTATGTAAACTTCTGACACACTGGAATTGTGATACAGTGAATTATAAGTGAAATAATCTGTCTGTAAACAATTGTTGGAAAAATTACCTGTGTCATGCACAAAGTAGATGTCCTAACCGACTTGCCAAAACTATAGTTTGTTAACAAGAAATTTGTGGAGTGGTTGAAAAATGAGTTTTAATTACTCCAACCTAAGTGTTATGTAAACTTCCGACTTCAACTGTATATATCTAACAGTAGTTGAGATGTGTCTGTTCTTGTTATGCTGAGAAGGTAGCCAGACCTCCTCCCCTCCATCTCTTGGAATATTCTAGTGCTTTCTAAACTCACCAGGTACTGTGGAGAGGCCGACAGAGGCAGCAGGAGAGGAGAAGTCAGCAAATCCTCCTATCAAGTCTGGAAAGAGACACACACACAGAACACTTTAATGAGTGAATTGTGAGAAGTTTCCAGAGACCAACCCAGGCCCTTAGACCTGCCCAGAGCCAGAGACCCTCCATGATGTCCTGTAACTACACTACCTCCCCCTAACCCTCCATGATGTCCTGTAACTACACTACCTCCCCCTAACCCTCCATGATGTCCTGTAACTACACTACCTCCCCCTAACCCTCCATGATGTCCTGTAACTACACTACCTCCCCCTAACCCCCCATGATGTCCTGTAACTACACTACCTCCCCCTAACCCCCCATGATGTCCTGTAACTACACTACCTCCCCCTAACCCTCCATGATTTCCTGTAACTACACTACCTCCCCCTAACCCTCCATGATGTCCTGTAACTACACTACCTCCCCCTAACCCCCCATGATGTCCTGTAACTACACTACCTCCCCCTAACCCTCCATGATTTCCTGTAACTACACTACCTCCCCCTAACCCTCCATGATGTCCTGTAACTACACTACCTCCCCCTAACCCTCCATGATGTCCTGTAACTACACTACCTCCCCCCTAACCCTCCATGATTTCCTGTAACTACACTACCTCCCCCTAACCCCCCATGATGTCCTGTAACTACACTACCTCCCCCTAACCCTCCATGATTTCCTGTAACTACACTACCTCCCCCTAACCCTCCATGATTTCCTGTAACTACACTACCTCCCCCTAACCCTCCATGATGTCCTGTAACTACACTACCTCCCCATAACCCCCATCATGTCCTCTCAGTGTGTGTAGTTACCGGTGGCTGCTGCAGGCTGGCTGGGTCCTGTATCTACCATCAATAGGTCAGCCAGACCACTGTTGGAGGGCTTGGGTGCTGCTGCTGACGGAGTCTGGAACAGAGAGAAGGAGAGGAGAGATGTGAGTAGAGACTGCACTGTCCGCTGTTAACACCAGATGGCAGCAATAGGCTAGAGTGGACCAGCATGGACAATGTGCACGGACACACACCTGTTTGGCGGAGGTATCGGGGCTCTTGTCTCCTGTGTAGTGGGCCGCGGCTCCCAGGGACACAGTTTTGGACGGAACCCCACCTCTCTTCCTGGTTTCTGTGGTTTCTGTTGCCTGGACGATCTGGACGCTCTTGGTCGTCACGGTTTCCTCCTCGTCTTTGAACACTGACCTCCCAGACTGACCGTTCCGCGACGGGTAACCTCGCTCCTCCTCGTTGTCACTAAGGAGACCAGAGAGGACGCAAACCGGGTGGAAAAGAGGACATTTTGTTTTGGAGATAATTCTATTCAAAGTGTGTGACTAAAGTATGACAGAACATCAGGTTGTTGATATCCTGTAATATTTTTATTTATTTAACCTTTATTTAACCTGGTAAAAACCTATTTTGCGAGGGCGACCTGACAAGAAGACAAAATACACACAAAAGACAAAGTGTCACAAGTTCCAGATAGAACTGAAGATTAGAAACAACTACAGCTGTCACAAACAGTGTCGTCAGAGTCTTAACAACAGGCAAGGACACTAACTCCCCTAACTTTCATATCTTCTGCAGCATGTTCCAGGATGAAGGGCCATTATGGGAAAAATACTGTTTCCCCATCTCAGTTCTAGCCTTAGGGACAGACAAGGACAGCAGTGACTGTGAACGAAGACTGTATTGAGTGACTGATCTGGTCAGTAAGGAACAGAGATACAAAGGGAGTTGTCCTATCAATGCTTTGTACACAAAAGTGTACCAGTGCTTTAGCCTCCTGGTGGAGAGAGAGGTCCATGTATGATAGCATACAAATCACAGTGATGGGTGAGTGATCTAGCATTTGTAATAAATCTTAAAGCACCATGATACACTGTGTCCAGAGTTTTTAAAGGTACTTGCTGAGGCCTGCATATAGACAATATCACCATAATCCAGCACCAATAACAAAGTGCTTTAAACAAGATCCTTTCTGACTAACATTGAAAAGCAAGATTTGTTCCTAAAATAGAAACCATATTTCAATTTCAGTTTCTTGGTTAAGCTATCAAGGTGCTGTTTAAAATTCAGCTTTTCATCTAACCAAATCCCAAGATACTTATAGAAGGTGACCCTATCAATTTGCTGGGATTTTACAGTTAAAATCTGCAGGTGACTCCATCTGTTTAGTTTCAGGGAAGAGAAAACCATACAATTTGTTTTCCTTGCATTAAGCACAAGTTTCCATTCAAAAAGCTGCCTTTGAATAACATCAAAAGCCAACTAAGTCCTGAAAAGCCTACTTAATATTAGATGCGCTAGAATAAATAATTGTGTCATCAGCATACAGATTTGCAGAGTCAACAGTCTTCCTTATATAATTTACAGTTGAAGTCTGAAATTTACATACGCTTAGGTTGGAGTCATTAAAACTCGTTTTTCAACCACTCCACAAATTTCTTGTTAACAAACTATAGTTTTGGCAAGTCGGTTAGGACATCTATTTTGTGCATGACACAAGTAATTTTTCCAACAATTGTTTACGGACAGATTATTTCACTTATAATTCACTGTATCACAATTCCAGTGTGTCAGACGTTTACATACACTAAGTTGACTGTGCCTTTAAACAGCTTGGAAAATTCCAGAAAATGATGTCATGGCTTTAGAAGCTTCTGATAGGCTAATTGACATCATTTGAGTCAATTGGAGGTGTACCTGTGGATGTATTTCAAGGCCTACCTTCAAACTCAGTGCCTCTTTGCTTGACATCATGGGAAAATCAAAAGAAATCAGCCAAGACCTCCGAAAAATAATTGTAGACCTCAACAAGTTTAGTTCATCTTTGGGAGAAATTTCCAAATGCCTGAAGGTACCATGTTCATCTGTACAAACAATAGTACGCAAGTATAAACACCATGGGACCACGCAGCCGTCATACCGCTCAGGAAGGGGACGCGTTCTGTCTCCTAGAGATGAACGTACTTTGGTGCGAAAAGTGCAAATCAATCCCAGAACAACAGCAAAGGACCTTGTGAAGATGCTGGAGGAAACAGGTACAAAAGTATCTATATCCACAGTAAAACAAGTCCTATATCGACATAACCTGAAAGGCCCCTCAGCAAGGAAGAAGCCACTGCTCAAAAACTGCCATAAAAAAGCCTGACTATGGTTTGCAACTGCACATGGGGAGAAAGATCGTACTTTTTGGAGAAATGTCCTCTGGTCTGATGAAACAAAAATAGAACTGTTTGGCCATAATGACCATAGTTATGTTTGGAGGAAAAAGGGGAAGGCTTGCAAGCCGAAGAACACCATCCCAACCATGAAGCACAGGGGTGGCAGCATCATGCTGTGGGGGTGCTTTGCTGCAGGAGTGACTGGTGCGCTTCACAAAATAGATGGCATCATGAGGAAGGAAAATTATGTGGATATATTGAAGCAACATCTCAAGACATCAGTCAGGAAGTTAAAGCTTGGTCGCAAATGGGTCTTCCAAATGGACAATGACCCCAAGCATACTTCCAAAGTTGTGGCAAAATGGCTTAAGGACAACAAAGTCAAGGTATTGGAGTGGCCATCACAAAGCCCTGACCTCAATCCTATAGAAAATGTGTGGGCAGAACTGAAAAAACGTGTGCGAGCAAGGAGGCCTACAAACCTGACTCAGTTACACCAGCTCTGTCAGGAGGAATGGGCCAAAATTCACCCAATTTATTGTGGGAAGCTTGTGGAAGGCTACCCGAAACGTTTGAACCAAGTTAAACAATTTAAAGGCTATGCTACCAAATACTAATTGAGTGTATGTAAACTTCTGACCCCTTGGGAATGTGATGAAAGAAATAAAAGCTGAAAGAAATCATTCTCTCTACTATTATTCTGACATTTCACATTCTTAAAATAAAGTGGTGATCCTAACTGACCTAAGACAGGGAATTTTTACTAGGATTAAATGTCAGGAATTGTGAAAAACTGAGTTTAAATGTATTTGGCTGAGGTGTATGTAAACTTCTGACTTCCATTGTAGATGGCTATATCTCCCCCTTACTTTGTCGGTCGCATTGATAAACATTATAACCATCTAAGACTGATTTACAACTGATTTCTTAAGCCAGGTCTCGGACAGAACTAAGACATCTGGGTCAGCAGTGTGAACCCAGACTTTTATCATGTCCATTTTCGGCATCAGATTCCTCACATTAATATGCATCAGTCCCAACCCTGATCTAGTTTTAAAATAATTTGAATCGGTCACCAGAATCTGTCTGGTGAGTCACCTCTATCCTAACCTGAATCATCTGTCTGGTGAGTCATCTTTATCCTAACCTGAATCATCTTTCTGGTAAATCATCTATATCCTTACCTGAATCTGTCTGGTGAGTCATCTCTGCTATGCTTCTTGAACTTGTTGATGGTGTCATCGATGGTGCTGCCGATCTTATCACTGATCTCCCCCAGCTTCTCACTGAAGGGGAACTGGCCTTGGTCTCTCTTCCAGTCCTCATCCCACTTCCCACTGCTGCTTCCCTCGTTACCGCCAGAGTCATACCGGTCACCCGCTGGAGAGAGAGGGGGAGAGAGGGGAGGGAGAGAGAGGGAGAGGGGAGGGAAAAGGGGTCGGGATAGATGATGATAGGGTGGCTTGAGGAAGCGGCCTCTGTGGGGGAGGGGATCTTCTCTCTCGTGGGGAGACGAGGGTTTGGGTGGGGCGGGTGCGGGGGTTCTTTTTTTCTTCCTTTCTTCCGCTTTGGTTGGCGGGGGGAGACGAGCGGTGTTCGCGGCTGGGGGTTGCGCGGCCAGTGTGGATTTCTCCTTTTGCGCCCTGGCTTGATCTGAATTGTAGAAAATTGTGAGTAGTGTAAGGCCCTTTATAAGATCAGAGGACACTCCAATGTATATGTGTGTGTGAGTATTGGTGTGTTCCAGATTGACTTACTGTATCTCCTGAACCCTCCCCCCATTACTGTCAGAGGACTTACTGTATCTACTGAAACCCTCCCCCCATACTGTCAGAGGACTTACTGTATCTACTGAACCCTCCCCCATTACTGTCAGAGGACTTACTGTATCTACTGAACCCTCCCCCAATACTGTCAGAGGACTTACTGTATCTACTGAACCCTCCCCCCATACTGTCAGAGGACTTACTGTATTTACTGAACCCTCCACCCACACTGTCAGAGGACTTACTGTATCTACTGAACCCTCCCCCCCATACTGTCAGAGGACTTACTGTATCTTACTGAACCCTCCCCCATTACTGTCAGAGGACTTACTGTATCTACTGAACCCTCCCCCATTACTGTCAGAGGACTTACTGTATCTACTGAACCCTCCCCCCATACTGTCAGAGGACTTACTGTATTTACTGAACCGTCCCCCCATTACTGTCAGATGACTTACTGTATCTACTGAACCCTCCCCCCCATTACTGTCAGAGGACTTACTGTATCTACTGAACCCTCCCCCCATACTGTCAGAGGACTTACTTTTATGATCTACTGACTAGAAAACCCTCCCCCCATACTGTCAGAGGACTTACTGTATCTACTGAACCCTCCCCCCATTACTGTCAGAGGACTTACTGTATCTACTGAACCCTCCCCCCATTACTGTCAGAGGACTTACTGTATCTACTGAACCCTCCCCCCATACTGTCAGAGGACTTACTGTATCTACTGAACCCTCCCCCCATTACTGTCAGAGGACTTACTGTATCTACTGAACCCTCCCCCCATACTGTCAGAGGACTTACTGTATTTACTGAACCTCCCCCATACTGTCAGAGGACTTACTGTATTACTGACCCTCCCCCCACACTGTCAGAGGACTTACTGTATCTATACTGAACCCTCCCCCCATACTGTCAGAGGACTTACTGTATCTACTGAACCCTCCCCCATACTGTCAGAGGCAACCCTTTTTAACCTGTATTACTGAACCCTCCCCCACACTGTCAGAGGACTTACTGTATTTACTGAACCCTCCCCCCACACTGTCAGAGGACTTACTGTATCTCCTGAACCGTCCCCCCATACTGTCAGGGACTTACTGTATTTACTGAAACCCTCCCCCCATACTGTCAGAGGACTTACTGGTATTTACTGAACCCTCCCCCCCACACTGTCAGAGGACTTACTGTATCTACTGAACCCCTCCCCCCATACTGTCAGAGGACTTACTGTATCTACTGAACCCTACTCCCCCCCATACTGTCAGAGGACTTACTGTATTTACTGAACCCTCCCCCCACACTGTCAGAGGACTTACTGTATCTACTGAACCCTCCCCCCCATACTGTCAGAGGACTTACTGTATCTACTGAACCCTCCCCCCATTACTGTCAGAGGACTTACTGTATCTACTGAACCCTCCCCCCATTACTGTCAGAGGACTTACTGTATCTACTGAAACCCTCCCCCCCCCATACTGTCAGAGGACTGTATCTACTGAACCCTCCCCCCATACTGTCAGAGGACTGTATCTACTGAACCCTCCCCCCATACTGTCAGAGGACTGTATCTACTGAACCCTCCCCCCCATACTGTCAGAGGACTTACTGTATCTACTGAACCCTCCCCCCCATACTGTCAGAGGACTGTATCTACTGAACCCTCCCCCCATACTGTCAGAGGACTTACTGTATCTACTGAACCCTCCCCCCATACTGTCAGAGGACTTACTGTATCTACTGAACCCTCCCCCCATTACTGTCAGAGGACTTACTGTATCTACTGAACCCTCCCCCCATACTGTCAGAGGACACGCCAATGTATTTGTCTTTGTTCTTCTTCGCCTTCTTCCTCTCCTCTCTCAGTCTATCATCATCCTGGATCAGACCCACCATCTCCTTCACCTTCTGACGCACGTTCACTCCCTGGTCCTTACCGTTATCATCTACACAGAGGTAGAGGAACAAGTAAAAGAGAGAGGAGATTAAGGTTATTGACAAGCTGGTGTTGTTGTGATGACTCAAGACAGCTGTTGTGCCAAAGCTACAGGTTATCTGCAGGTGTTCCAGTCCCCTATAAACAGATGTGCCTTTTCAGAAAAACTGAACTCTAGAAACTGCAACAGGATTGCAGATCAAAATGTAGGAAGCTGATCAGTGTATTCAGAATGTCAGGTGGGAGAACAGACGGCGGACAGAGAGAGACAGAAGGCGGACAGAGAGAGACAGACGGCGGACAGAGAGAGAAAGACGGCGGACAGAGAGAGAGCGACGGCGGACAGAGAGAGAGCGACGGCGGACAGAGCGAGAGCGACGGCGGACAGAGAGAGAGCGACGGCGGACAGAGAGAGAGCGACGGCGGACAGAGAGAGAGAGAGACGGCGGACAGAGAGAGAGACAGCGGAAAGAGAGAGAGCGACGGCGGACAGAGAGAGACAGACGGCGGAAAGAGAGAGCAGACGGCGGCAGAGAACGAGACGGCGGGACAGCGGAGAGAGAGAGACAGCGGCGGACAGAGAGCGACAGAGGCGGACAGAGAGAGACAGACGGCGAAGAGAGAGAGAGAGAGAGAGCGAGAGACGGCGGAAAGAGAGAGAGAGGACGGCGGAACAAGAGACAGAAGGGGACAGAGAGAGACAGACGGCGGACAGAGAGCAGAGAGAGAGAGACGCGGACAAGGAGAGAGGAGAGCGGACGGCGGACAGCGACGTGGACGAGCGAGAGAGAGAGAGACGCGGACAGCGGAGGAGCGGCGGACAGCGAGAGAGAGACGGCGGACAGCGAGAGAGAGAGAGACGGCGGACAGAGAGAGAGCGACGGCGGACAGAGAGAGAGCAGGGACAGGGACGACAGAGAGAGAGAGGACGGCGGACAGAGAGAGACGACGGCGGACAGAGAGAGACGACGTCGGACAGGAGAGCGACGCGAAGAGAGAAGGAGGAGAGCGACAGAGAGGAAGACGGGGAGAGAGAGAGACAGACGGGACAGAGAGAGACAGAGCGGACGAGGAGACAGACGGCGAGAGAGAGACGACGGCACAGAGAGAGAGCAGACGGCGGACAGAGGAGACAGACGCGGACGAGAGAGACAGACGCGGACAGAAGAGACACAGGGGGACAGAGAGACGACGCGACAAGAGAGACAGACGGCGGACAGAAGAGAGAGACAGACAGCGGACAGAGAGAGAGAGAGGAGAGAGACGGCGGACAGCGAGAGAGAGGACGGCGACAGAGAGACAGACGGCGGACAGAGAGAAAGAGGCGACAGAGGAGAGAGGAGAGACGGCGGACAAGAGAGAGAAGGAGAGAGCGACGGACGGAGCGACGGCGGACAGAGAGAGAGAGAGAGAGAGACGGCGGACAGAGAGAGAGAAGAGAGAAGCGACGGCGGACAGAGAGAGAGAGAGAGAGAGAGAGACGGCGACAGCGAGAGAGAGACGGCGACAGCGAAGAGAGAGAGCGACGCGGACAGAGAGAGAGCGACAGCGGACAGAGAAGAGCGACGGGACAGAGACAGAGCGACGGCGGACAGAGAGAGAGCGACGGCGGACAGAGAGAGAGCGACGGCGGACAGAGAGAGAGCGACGGCGGACAGAGAGAGAGCGACGGCGGACAGAGAGAGAGCGACGGCGGACAGAAGGAAGAGAGAGACGGCGGACGGGAGAGGAGAGAGCAGACGAGAGAGAGAGAGAACGGCGGACAGAGAGAGAGCGACGGCGGACAGAGAGAGAGCGACGGCGGACAGAGAGAGAGCGACGGCGGACAGAGAGAGAGCGACGGCGGACAGAGAGAGAGCACGGCGGACAGAGGGGAGAGAGGGGGGGGAAAAGGGGGGGGGGAAAAGGGGGGGGAAAAAGGGAGGAGCGGGACAGAGAGAGAGGCGCGGAAAGAAGGGCGGCGGAAAAAGAGGAGAAAGAGGGGGACAAAGAAGAAAACCGGAGGGGGGCGGGGGAAAGAGAGACAACGGGAAAGGGGAAAACGGACGGAGAAGGGGCGGAAAGAAGACAAGGGCGGAAAAAGAACCCAAAAAGGGGGGAGGGGGAGAGGGGAAAAGGGGGAAAAGGGGAGGGGAAAAGGGGAAGGGAAAAGGAAAAGGGGGGGAAAGGGGAAAAAGCGACGGCGGACAAGAGAAAGAGCACGGCGGCAAAAAAAAGGGGGGGGGACGAGGGAAGGGGGGACAGAGAAAAAGGGACGGCGGAAGAAGAGAGGGGGGGGAAAAAGAAGAGAGGCGGGGGAAGAGAAAAAGGCGACGGGGGGGGAGAAAGAGCGACGGCGGACAGAGAGAGAGCGAGGGGGACAAGAGGGGGGGGACAGGAGAGAGCGCGGCGGACAGAGAGAGAGAGGGGGGGGAAAAGAGAGAGGGAAGGGGGAAAAGGGGAGGGGGACAAAAGGAGGGGGCGGGAAGAAGGGGGAAAAAAGGGGGCGGGGGGAGAGAGGGGGCCCAGAAGGAGGGGAAGGGGCAGGGGAAGGGGGGGGGAAGAGAAAGCGACGGGGACGAAGAACCGGGGACGAAGAGGGGCCCCGGGGACAGAGAGAGGGACGGGGGACAAGAGAGCGACGGCGGACAGAGAGGAGAGCGACGGCGGACAGAGAGAGAGCGACGGCAGGACAGAGAGGAGAGCGACGGCGGACAGAGAGGAGAGCGACGGCGGACAGAGGAGAGCGACGGCGGACAGAGAGATGAGCGACGGCAGACAGAGAGAGAGCGACGGCGGACAGAGAGAGAGCGACGGCGGACAAAAAGAGAGAGCGACGGCGGACAGAGAGAGAGAGACGGCGGGACAGAGAGAGAGAGGAGAGAGACGGCGGACGACAGAGAGAGAGAGACGGCGGACCGAGAGAGAGCGAGAGCGGCGGACAGAGAGAGGACAGACGGCGGACAGAGAGAGAGACAGACGGCGGACAGAGAGAGACAGACGGCGGACAGAGAGAGACAGACGGCGGACAGAGAGAGAGCGACGGCGGACAGAGAGAGCGACGGCGGACAGAGAGAGAGCGACGGCGGACAGAGAGAGCGACGGCGGACAGAGAGAGCGCGACGGCGGACAGAGAGAGAGAGAGAGACAGCGGACAGAGAGAGACAGCGGACAGAGAGCAACAGCGGAGAGAGAGAGCGACGGCGGACAGAGAGAGCGACGGCGGACAGAGAGAGCGACGGCGGACAGAGAGAGCGACGGCGGACAGAGAGAGCGACGGCGGACAGAGGAGAGCGACGGCGGACAGAGAGAGCGAAGGGCGGACAGAAGAGAGCGACGGCGGACCAGAGAGAGCGACGGCGGACAGAGAGAGAGCGACCGGCGGACAGAGAGGAGAGCGACGGCGGACAGAGAGGAGAGCGACGGCGGACAGAGAGAGAGCGACGGCGGACAGAGAGAGAGCGACGGCGGACAGAGAGAGAGCGACGGCGGACAGAGAGAGAGAGACTGCGGACAGAGAGAGAGAGAGACGGCGGACAGAGAGAGAGACAGACGGCGGACAGAGAGAGAGACAGACGGCGGACAGAGAGAGACAGACGGCGGACAGAGAGAGACAGACGGCGGACAGAGAGAGACAGACGGCGGACAGAGAGAGACAGACGGCGGACAGAGAGAGAGACAGCGGACAGAGAGAGAGCGACAGCAGAGAGAGAGCAACAGCGGAGAGAGAGCAACAGCGGAGAGAGAGAGAGACAGAGGACAGAGAGAGAGCGACAGCGGAAAGAGAGAGCGACAGCGGACAGAGAGAGCGACAGCGGACAGAGAGAGCGAAAGCGGACAGAGAGAGCGACAGCGGACAGAGAGAGAGAGCGACGGCGGACAGAGAGAGAGAGCGACGGCGGACAGAGAGAGAGCGACGGCGGACAGAGAGAGAGCGACGGCGGACAGAGAGAGAGAGCGACGGCGGACAGAGAGAGAGAGAGACGGCGGACAGAGAGACAGACGGCGGACAGAGAGAGCGACGGCGGACAGAGAGAGAGCGACGGCGGACAGAGAGAGAGCGACGGCGGACAGAGAGAGAGCGACGGCGGACAGAGAGAGAGCGACGGCGGACAGAGAGAGAGCGACGGCGGACAGAGAGAGAGCGACGGCGGACAGAGAGAGAGCGACGGCGGACAGAGAGAGAGAGCGACGGCGGACAGAGAGAGACAGCGACAGCAGAGAGAGACCGCAGACAGAGAGAGTGACCGCAGACAGAGAGAGTGACCGCAGACAGAGAGAGTGACCGCAGACAGAGAGAGTGACCGCAGACAGAGAGAGTGACCGCAGACAGAGAGTGTGACCGCAGACAGTGTGACCGCAGACAGAGAGTGACCGCAGACAGAGAGTGACCGCAGACAGAGAGAGTGACCGCAGACAGAGAGAGAGACCGCAGACAGAGAGACAGAGATAGAGAGAGAGTACTTGCCTACGAAGTGGTAGCTCTCTAGAGATCGTAGGTCATAGATGTGTTCTCTGCCGCTGGTGACAACTCTCTCTGAACCGTTCCTGATGAGGTGGGACAACAACAGCAGAGACTGGGGGAGAAGAGATGGAAAACTGTTGTTATAACTTCTTATGAGCGACAGCGGACAGCGGACCTCTATGTCATGTTTAGAGAGCAGATCTCGGCCCTCGAGGTCTGGAGTTGAATAGCTATAGCTTATTTCTTGGTTATAAAAAAAAAAGAAAGTCACTCTATATGCTCCCAAACTAACCAAGGTTTACCCATTCAATTGTTGGAAGCATACAGGAGTGTACAAAACATTAGGAACACCTGCTCTTTCCATGACATAGGCTGACCAGGTGAATGATATGATCCCTTATTGATGTCACTTGTTAAATCCACTTCAAATCAGTGTAGATGAAGGGAAGGAGACAGGTTAAAGAAGGAGTTTTAAGCTTTAAGACATCTGAGACATGGATTGGAGGGTGAATGGGCAAGACAAAAGATTGAAGTGCCTTTGAACAGGGTATGGTAGTAGGTGCCAGGCGCACTGGTTTGTGTCAAGAACGGAAACTCTGCAGGGTTTTTCACGCTCAACAGTTTCCCGTGTGTACTGTATCAAGAATGGCCCACCACCCAAAGGACATCCAGCCAACTTGACACAACTGTGGGAAGCATTGGAGTCAACATGGGCCAGCATCCCTGTGGAACGCTTTTGACACCTTGTAGAGTCCATGCCCCAATGAATTGAGCCTGTTCTGAGGGCAAAGGGGGGGTGCAACTTAATATTAGGAAGGTGTTCCTAATGTTTTGTACACTCAGTGTATATAGTGTGCGACTTTCATGCTTATGACAGGTTATAGGTCCTCTCTGACCTTGTAGACCCTTCTCCAGTTCTTCTTGTTGTCCCTGAGCATCCTGATCCACAGCATGTTCATCACCTCTGGAAACTGCTCATACATAAACGTACATCTGAGGAGGGGGGGGGGGGAGAGAGACACAGAGAGAGAGAGACACAGAGAGAGAGAGACAGAGGGAGAGAGGAGGAAGAGGTGTAGAGGGGTTCAGCTACATGGCAACGGGATTCAATTTAAATAACAAATTTTTCCTGTGAAGTAGGACGTCGCAGATATACAAGGCGGTGTGCTTGTGTGTGAACAGCGCCCCTACCTGGAAATCTCTGCCATCTGCTGTCCTGAAGGTCCCCAGGGGTCATCGTTGGTGGCCTCCCTCACCTTAGACTCCACCTCCGAGTAGTTCATCACCACATTGGTTCTACATGTAAAAGTAAGAGATATTTTAGTGGCTCTTTTCTGAAGAGAATAGGTCGTCAAGCCGGGGACAAAAGGAAGGTCTGCACTCAATTAAAGAGTTTTAAAAACGGTCTTATCTGTCTTTATCGAAAAGGCAAACCTAGGCCCAGCATTGGACAGCCTAGCATTTGACAGCCTATTCATGGTAACAGTCAAGACACACAGACTCCATTTACATTACACCATTCTGACCTCCTGTTTCTCCAGGAACACAGAGTCAAATAACACTCATGACATAACCTTAATGACATCACACAGGCACTCTGAAGACGTTGTGTGTGTGTGTGCATACATGTTGAATGCACTGACTAAGTCGCTCTGGATGAGAGCGTCTGCTAAAAGGCCAAAATGTTAAATGTAATGTGCATACTATGGCAGTTGTCCCACGGTCAGGAAAAACTGTTCTTCAGGGCGTTAGAGGGGAGAGACCGGGATAAACTGTGTGGAGTGAGGGAGTGTGAGAGAAGCAATGCTGTTTCTTTGTAAATGAAGGGCGGGACGCCACCAAGCAACCTAGTATCAATGTCTGAGTTACACAACTATACATGATCCATAGAGACTACCTACGGTCCGTAATTGACTTGCTTTAAGAGTAGTTTCATACAGTTTCAAAGACGTAAACAAACAGAATAAAAACTACAGCAGGCATAATCAGTTATTAAGGTCAAGGCTAGGAGCTCGCAGAAAATGTGGAAGCTAAACAAGGAAATGTGTCTGCTTAATCCCAGACCTTGGTTCAAACGGGGCCATTTAGCTAGTCAAACTTTATTTATAGTTCAAATATGGAAAACAGAAACAAATAGCGGACAGAGAGAGACAGCAGAGAGAGACAGCAGAGAGAGAGACATGTCTGCTCAGACATAACCCCATGGAGTAGGGCTCAGCTCTCTGCTCAGACATAACCCCATGGAGTAGGACTCAGCTCTCTGCTCAGACATAACCCCATGCACTAGGGCTCAGCTCTCTGCTCAGACATAACCCCATGGAGTAGGGCTCAGCTCTCTGCTCAGACATAACCCCATGGAGTAGGACTCGGCTCTCTGCTCAGACATAACCCCATGCAGAAGGACTCAGCTCTCTGCTCAGACATAACCCCATGGAGTAGGGCTCAGCTCTCTGCTCAGACATAACCCCATGGAGTAGGACTCGGCTCTCTGCTCAGACATAACCCCATGCAGAAGGACTCAGACGGCAGTAAGGTCCGTCAGTTTTTCAATCCCTTATGGCTGAAGTTTGGATTTAGAGAGGGTAAGCTGATCTTAGATATGTGCCTACAACTTCTACCCAGAGCTAGAAGCAGCCAGCCAGCCAGCCAGCCAGCCAGCCAGCCAGCCAGCCAGCCAGCACCGTAAAGTACTGTAGTAGACAGAGAGTGACTGTTGTAATGTCAAAGTCATAAATAGCTTCCCTCTTAAAAACTGGGAAACAGCTAGTTGGTGCAACGAGCAATTCAAATAACCTATGAGTTCTTAAAGCTGCAATATGTAACTTTTGGAGCGACTCGACCAAATTCACATAAAAATATGTGTTATAGATATGTCATTCTCATTGAAAGCAAGTCTAAGAAGCGGTAGATCTGTTCTATGTGCGCTATTTCTATGCTTCCTGTTCTCAAGTTTCGTTTTTGCCTATTTTACTTTCGGTTTTGTACACCAGCTTCAAACAGCTGAAAGTACAATATTTTGGGTTATGGAAAATATATTTCACAGTGGTTTAGATGGTACAATGATTATCTACACTATACTTGCTTATTTTGTCACATAAACTGAAATTAGGCAGACTATTAGAATTATAGCAACCAGGAAATGTCGGAGCAATTTCTGCATAGTGCATCTTCAGATAATAAACTGCAGCATGGCTGCCTAGGCCTAAACTCTTTGAAACATAGTGAAAAACCTTATAATCGTGATATAGCCTAACATTTAGACAAGACAGTTATCTTTTCTCTTCTCAGTAGACTTGCTAGCTTCCTCTGTCCCACATATCAACCTAATCAAACGGAAGCCTCTGATCTTCTATCTGTGTGTGAGTGTGTGTGTGTGTAATCTGACACAATATGGCAAAGGCTTCCGTTTTGTTGCAAGTCTGTCTGCAATGCACACACCAATTCCCTTCATCCTGTGACTAGTCCAAATAAAGTATTTAGGCCTATTTACTTAGTATTGTAACAATTTTTCAATGTGACTGCCGGGAGGACTTAGAAACAAGAATTGCCAGTCCCTTGATTCAGGTCTAGGCCTGTAGATATCCTTCACAGTGAGCCAGCATTCAGTCGCTTTTGTGGAATATGCCTGCACTCTGGTGGGTGTTTCCCACTCACAACGTCTCTACTCAAGGTCCTTATAACTCTGAGCCTCGTTTCCCAGAGCCTTCGTAGTGTTTAGAGCATCGTTTGAACCTTCTTACGATGCATCTTTAGTAGCCGAGGTGTTGTTTTCCCAGAGTTTTTGTTAGTAACATGGCTCTTAAAAACCTTTGCACATCTACGAGTGATCCAGACCACTTGTAGAGCAGCCAAAGTGCATCGTTAGATATTTTTTTGCCCTTCCATTAGATATTTTATTTGCAGAAGATCTCCACTAAACATACAGTGCCTTCAGAAAGTATTCATACCCCTTGACTTATTCCACATTTTCTTGTGTTACAGCTTGAATTAAATAAATAAAAATCACCCATCTACACACAATACCCCATAATGAAAGTGAAAACATGCAGATTTTTTTTGCAAATGTATTGAAAATGAAATACAGAAATATTGAATATTGAAGAAATATCGAATATTGTACAATCCAGGTGTGCAAAGCTCTTAGAGACTTACCCAGAATTCAAACCTCTGAGTCAATACATGTTAGTCACCTTTGGCAGCGATTACAGCTGTGAGTCTTTCTGGGTAAGTCTCTAAGAGCTTTGCACACCTGGATTGTACAATATTTGCCCATTATTCTTTATTTTTATTTTTATGTAAGCTCTGTCAAATTGGATGTAGATCATTGCTAGACATCCATTTTCAAGTCTTACAATAGATTTTCAAGCAGATTTCTACTGAACAAAAATATAAACGCAACAGGTAGTGTTGGTCCCATGTTTCATGAGCTGAAATAAGAGATCCCAGAAATGTTCCATACCCACAAAAAGCTTTTCTCTAAAAATGTGTGCACAAATGTGTTTACATCCCTGTTAGTGAGCATTTCTCCTTTGCCAAGATAATCCATCCACCTGACAGATGTGGCATATCAAGAAGCTGATTAAACAGCATGATCATTACACAGGTGCAACTTGTGCTGGGGACAATAAAAGGTAACTAAAATGTTGTCACACAACACAATCCCATAGATGTCTCAAGTTGAGGGAGCGTGCAATTGGCATGCTGACTGCAGGAATATCCACCAGAGCTGTTGGCAGAGAATGTAATGTACATTTCTCTACTATACGCCGCCTCCAATGTTGTTTTAGAGAATTTGGCAGTACGTCCAACCGGCCTCACAACCACAGACCACATGTAACCACGCCAGCCCAGGACCTCCAAAACCGGCTTCTTCAACTGCGGGATCGTCTGAGACCAGCCACCCGGACAGCTGAGGTGTAGTTCTGTCTGTAATAAAGCCCTTCTGTGGAGAAAAACTCATTCTGATTGGCTGGGCCTGGCTCCCCAGTGGGTGGGCCTATGGCTGTGCCCCTACCCATTCATGTGAAATCCATAGATTTGGGCCTAATTAATTTCTCAATCGACTGATTTCCCTATTTGAACTAACTCACTGAAATCGTTGAAATTGTTGCGTTTATATTTTTGTTCAGTATAAGTCAAAATTGTAACTAGGCCACTGAGGAACATTCACTGTCTTCTTGGTAAGCAACCAGTGTATATTTGGCCTTATGTTTTAGGTCATTGTCCTGCAGAAAGGCGAATTCATCTCCCAGTGTCTGGTGGAAAGCAGACAATCAGGTTTTCCTCTAGGATTTTGCATGTGCTTAGCTCCATTCTGTTTATTTTTGATCCTGAAAAACTCCCCAGTCCTTAACGATTACAAGCATACCCATAACATGATGCAGCCACCACTATGCTAGAAAATATGGAGAGTGGTACTCAGTAATGTGTTGTATTGAATTTGCCCCAAACATAACACTTTGTATTCAGGACAAAAAGTTAATTGTTTTGCCACATCTTTTGCAGTATTACTTTAGTGCCTTGTTGTAAACAGGATGCATGTTCTGGAATATTTTTAGCTTCCTTCTTTTCACTCTGTCAATTAGGTTAGTATTGTGGAGTAACTACAATGTTGTTGATCCATTCTCAGTTTTCTCCTATCACAGCCATTAAACTCTAACTGTTTTAAAGTCAACATTGGCCTCATGGTGAAATCCCTGAGCAGTTTCCTTCCTCTCCGGCAACTGAGTTAGGAAGGCCACCTGTATCTTTGTAGTGACTGGGTGTATTGATAGACCATCCAAAGCGTAATTAATAACTTCACCATGCGCAAAGGGATGTTCAATGTCTGCTTTTTTATTTTTTTAACCTATCTACCAATAGGTGCCCTTCTTTGGAGGCACATACAGATAATTGTATGTGTGGGGTACAGAGATGAGGTAGTCATTCAAAAATCATTTTAAACACCATTATTGCACACAGAGAGATGTCCATGCAACTTATTGTGTGACTTGTTAAGCACATTTTTACTCCTGAACTTATTTAGGCTTGCCATAACAAAGGGGTTGAATACTTATTGACTTTTAGACATTTCAGCTTTTTATTTTAAATTAATTTGTGAACATTTCAAAAAACATAATTCCACTTTGACATTATGGGGTATTGTGTGTAGGCCAGTGACAAAACATCTCAATTTAATCCATTTTAAATTCAGGCTGTAAAAACAAAATGTGGAAAAAACCAAGAGGTGTGAATACTTTCTGAAGGCACTGTAGAATCAAGATCAGAACGAAGTTGACTACAAATACAAAGTTGCC